GTATTTCCCTCTACTACGCGGCAGCGCGCTAGATGCACGCTTTAAAAGTAGTCGTAAACGATTTCTTATAAGAGATTTGTATATATTTAGCTAGTATTACACCTATTCTAGAAAACTCGAAGTTGGTGTGTGTGTCAATTTGACCCTAATACGGGAGAAATGATGCGCTTTGCATACGAAGCTAGTGAAGATTGAAATGATGGTTCTCGTCGCATCACAATGTGGACCATTGATGCAGACGGCGCCAAAACACAATAGGCTTGGCATGAAGCTCCATTCTGCAGCATGATTCATGACTGTGGTATCACAAAAACCTACATTGTTCTGCCAATAAGTCCCCTCAAATACCTCCTAGATCGACTTCGAAAGGGAGGCAATCATTGGGCATGGGACCCTAAGGAAGATCAGTGGTATGACATTGTTTCACTGAGTATGGGAAAGCCTGAAGACATCGTGTGATTACGGTCTGAAAATGGTTCGCTACTCTTTTTCGATGTTGATTGCTTGATAACAAACCCCGATAACATTTCATGACCACGTTGCTGGTTGCTACGAAAATGACTAGGGGAATATCATGTCTTACCCTCACGGTCGCGGACGGTAACGTGCTCTTCTTCCCACCCGACGATGAGCCGAACGGAAGCGTTGTAAAAAAAACCGACTACGCAGCCAAACCAAACGCTGAATCTTCAATCCAAAGAGTCCTTTGGGATCATGGGTAGAGCCAAGCAAGGTTCGGGACGCTGGCGGTGGATTTTATTGATAACAGTCATGTTATCAAGAAGTACAATCATGTCTGGCAAGCAAAGATTGATAGCCAGAGTATGATGTTGCCAAATGTGGTTCGCCTGCAGAGGGACTATCTAACTGTATGACTAACTGCACATGGGATGAGAGAAAAGAGTATGTTTACTGGACCGGCTCATGTGTGACGTTTCAAGAGCCATCATTTATAATGCCAAAGAGCTATGGTGCAGAAGGAAAGGGCTGGACGATTGCTTTGTTAAATCATCTCGATGTATTGCGCAAAAATGTCTTCACCTTTGATGCCCTAACCTCGCAAAAGGTCCCGTAGCCACCGTTCATCCTCCAACAAGATTCTATCTTGTTCTTCATGGGAACTTTTGGATCAATGAGATATTGAGGAGTGGCAGGCAAGAAGGCAACCCAGTGAGGATGTCGGTCCTGTGAAACCTGCCACAAAGCCACGGCCTTGGCAACTGGAGGCTGAAAAAACCTTAACATGCACCAGCTCATGACTTGATGATGGGAGGACGAGCAACTACCTCCATTCGCATGGGATAAGATTCGTATGCGATGCATAACATCGGCAGCGAAGGTTTTTCCAAGGCCAATTCACGCTCAACTTAAGAAGTCATTTCCAAGCCAGCCAACCGTCTAAGAGGAAACTTTTATTGGACATCGGTCTTTGAGGCTAACAATACACAATGAGTAAGTACGCAACAACTACAACACATTCTGTACATACTTGACGAATCCTAGAAATGTCATCCACCAAAGGTTGCCTATGCACGATTAGCAGCACTAATCAGCCAGGTAACGGTATAAAAGTAGCATGATAGGTTGTTAGTATGAAGCATATCACATTCATCTCTCGATGTGGCCATGTATGAGTGGGTAGAAGGCACGTACCTATTTATAGGATGATCGTCAATCTGTGAACATTGTGCATGGGTATGTTGTGACTGCAGGGGGCAAATAGCCTGATCCCTGGCGAACCACGTGGCTCTTCCGCATTCTTAGTTAGATTCCGCAGAACAAGGACGATCTATGCAGGTAGTGGAAGTCGTTGGGCTCCAAAGATATGCTGGAGTGTCCATGGCTCTAGTGGCTTCACACTGATTATATGTATTACAATAGTGTACACAAAAACGAGAACTCATCCATCAGTGCCGCATTAGGTTTTCAAATCAAGTAGTTAGTCTTGTTCTAAAAACTGGAAAATTGGATTCTAACTATTCGTTACCGGTTGTTCTGCTTACAAGCTTATATCATCGGAAGATCGTTGAGAAACTTGATATGGGTCTTTGGGCGAAACATCCCTAAGTTCTGTCGTGCTTTGAAAATGGACATCTTTTTGGATGTATATAGCGTTGTCGTGGGTAGTCTTTGATTTAAGAGGACCATTGCTCGTATATCTCGTCTCTCTCTTTGTGCCAAATTGGTTGGCAGTAGTCGATTGATCCTTACCACTTGATCCCGCCATCTTTGGCGAAAATCTCTTTACTAGTGGCCGAAGTGTAGGAATACAGGCACACATGATACCAAGGCTGGTTTCAAGGGTAGAAAGAAAAGCAACGGTCCCGATTTGCCATGTGATATCGTTCCAGTCATACTGGGGTCCGATAAGCATATCAAGTCGGATTGCGGAGATGATGCATACACTACTGCATGTCAGTATAGTTATCGGTAAAAAGAGTAAGTGTTAATTACCCTAAGCCCATGCATAAGATAGCCAACAGGTATACCTTGCGCAACATACTGATTTGCAGTTGAAGTACAGGCTTAAAAGGGATGATGAGAATCAGAAAATCAGTAACTACATTCATGACAGCATTGAGCGCAGCTAGTCTAGCTGCTGTTAGTAAAAGCCAAAGCACGCATTGAGGAGTCCTCTATACGCACGTGTTATTGCCGACGCAAACTCCTTGCGGAATATGTGTGATTGCCGTGAATGTGCAGATGAATGGAGTGAAGACCCTTTAAAGAACATGTTTGTTAGAAATGACCTTGAATGAGTTACAGGAGAACTTACTGTTGTGCAGCTCCCCACATTATAAGAAACGCAGTGCCCCAGTTGCAGATAATTCGCATATTTCGGCCTGGGAAAATCTTTCTATATTGGAGAAGGAGCGATATCTTGATTGCAATTTGTGTCGCATTATAGATTAATATAGCGGCCAATAGTATCTTTATGAAGTGAGCTTCCATGCACCTTGTATTCTTCTCAGTAGACTCTTTACCTCTGAAAAAACTGTCAGTTTGTCCTCGACAAACTCAATGTGTCGGCCTGCGCCCCCAGCTGTAAGCATTGCGTAATTTCCAGCTGCTACTCCGAAGTTGAGCACTTGAGCCACAATGATGACATAGTCGTCCGCTCCAACATTTCGCAAGATTATTCTCCTATGCAAGTTCAAACTCTGATCAGCCCCGCAATCGCTGATTTTGCTTTTAAGGTTATAGGTACCTTGTGTAAAGCCGGAGGGCTACGCAGGCGCACGAAAGTACAGTGAAAATCGTAACGATGGCTAAGGCGGTAGGAACCTAAATAGCATTAGTGAGTTGTGCCATTGTATTCTTGGTGGTTTCTGCGTACTTGGGTTTCATCGGCCCTGGCCTGCTCACTCGCCATAATACTTAATTGGAAGCTGAATTCGCATGTGCCGTAGCCAATCTTTCCTCAAAGATGATATACCACCGGTCTTGAAGTGCAACCTTGAAGAGCATAGATGGCAAAGTGATGGGCAAACGTCAAACTATTTAGGACCAGATAGTTTCCTCGTAAAGGAGAACCGCGCGTAACATGGTTCGGTCTAATCTACGCCGCTCTGCAGCCAGGCTGATGGTGATCCAATCAGAAGACTGCGGCTGACTAGCCACCGTCCAAGCACGGTTTTAGTGATACTTCAACGGAACTATCGCAAGACGAGGGGTGTCGCTAAAGTTAGCCTACCGAGAATACGGGGTATTACGATCTGTGCATCTACGCAGAACTCCCCGCAGAGTAAGGTATAATGGCGGCATTATAGTCTACATTTTGTGCTTTTTGAGGCGGAGGGGCATGTTTTCTTTTTTTCTTTGTCGTACACGGCGATACCACAACTACGTGTCACGCTGCTTGTTGTGGTGTCGCTACTCAGTATAAGCACGAGCCACACCCTCCTCAGTCAATGGGAGTGTGGGAGCGGCTCGGAATTGCCTTCCGAATGGGGTCATGACACCGTAGAATGCATGAAAAGGCTTGGTTGCCTTACGAAGTGTGGCGTTCCGAGTCAGTGGTAGAGATAGCGCAATCCATCGCCTGTCTGGCAGCTGGTCCGCGTTCGGGGTCCGCCATCCCCGGGTCCGCCTTCCCCGGGTCCGCCATCCCCGGCCCCCATCTTGCCGCGCCATCACAGTCGCGTTCGCTTCCTCTTCGCGATCGCTTCGCCTTGCTAGCGACCTGCCCGACATACTTACATACTCATACTTACACGAGGCAACCCCTAGCTTTCGTTCAGCTTTATGGACTGTGCGAGACTTCTCCTACTACCCTAAACCAGTCGTATCGCAAAATAACTCAGGGCGTTACATTTCGAGCTCCATCATTTGTGTGATACTGGTACCCGCTATTAACCCTTATCATTTGTTAACCCCTGCAGCATATCCTTAAGCTAGAGTCACTATATGTCTTGTCACAATCTCGATTATCGCGTCGATTGAGCTTATATATAATGGTGCAAGGATGTAAGCCAGTGAAGCAATTAGAACAATTAGTTAGAGAGAATAATCGTCGCACAACTCTCAACAGGCGTGCTTCCAAGGTAAGATTGTAATTGGACTCCTAGTTTCAGTATAGTTTGCACTTGTCGCATTAGCGCACCAAGTGTTGGCAGAGTATGCACATTATATGCGTCTCAAAAATACCGATAGTTTGCTAGGGTAGGGAATTCTTCACTAGTTTCCACATAACAATTTGGATAGTAAATGACAGTCTTTTTCCTATACTCTGTCTTGAATTCTAGAGTATGTCGTTGTTCAAGAAAGTAGTCTTGAAGTAACCATCTTATACTATAAGATTCGAAATGTCGCACAATACCCTCCAACGTCCCGTGAAAAGTACTACACTAATGTCTTCTAGATTGGTATTAGCCCAAAACGTCCTTGAAATATGCTGCATCTCTGCGCTAAAACTACGATAATAGAAAGAGTAGGCAGTCAAAATAGTAGCAGGGCAATGGTGATTTGGTGGAGTAAAGAATGTCCGCTGAGGTTCCACGCCTTGTCAAGAGGCTACATGTCCGTGCTATCACACCGTTTACATTTACTTCCAAGCACAAGATAACAGATATACTATGTTTAATAAGAGCCAAATGATGCACTTATTGGAGGAGCGATGTTTATTTAACGCAAGAGGTGTCGTCTGTAGGGTTGCAATTGATGGGCACTATAATTCTTTGACCAGCCATAATTGTGTTGATATTAGATATACAGCTAGCCTGGGCTATTTCGCAAACACCGGTGTTGAACCGGTTCGCGATGAATATGAACGTGTCTCCTGGTCTAATGACATATGTCGTACTAGGACCGCAGGCACCTATGTTTCTCAATGACATTAGTAAACGAGCCGGTTCTTATGTTCCTGAATCTTACGTTTTTGACTTGCTCCAAGGGGGTTTGCAAGAGCGAGGCTCGAGAAAAGGGTAATGAAGAGTGCTTTGATCTGCATCTTGGGCGTTTTGCGTTAAACAGGTGTATATAGCTTAGCTAAAGTGCAAGGAAGGGCGTAGAAGTGGTTGTAGAAGTGATGTATCAGTTGAAGGGAAGAACATTCTGCTTTTATAGAAGCATTTTTCTATTTTGTAGCCAAAGAAACTCGTATTCCTCAAAAGGGTAGAACATTCACCAAGGCTTGTGATAGCTGAATAGACTGAATCTTCTCTGCAGTTTCATGTTCTACAATTCATGCTGCATGGAAACATATTCTTCTACAAGGCCGATAGCCTGATAATGCACACTTAGTGTGGTGTGGTCAGTATTTCTTAGTTAAATCCAGCTCTCAAGAGCTGATTCTTCGACCATTGATGGAGTTGCAAGTAACGATGTTGATTAGCAAACTGATCCACAGACGTGCCACGCTATGATCCGTGATGCCTTTAAACTGTGCTACATTGGCCCTTTCTGTAGCTGCTCTCTGCCTATCATGCGATCTCGATTAGATCCTGGCGCAATGCATGTTTTCCGTCACACTTCTTCTTTAGAGAATACATAGAGGGCTTGGACCACAGTTCTGTAATAGCCATCACATGGTGAAATAAACAAACCTTTCATATCAGGCGATACTTCCATTCACTATTCGAGAAAGCTCTTGGAACTATCATTTTCCCAACATGGGTGGGTGCGCTTTGCACGAATCAGGTCTTTAGCATCTTCAGTTTTCTGTCTTATGCTTTGCATCCAACGAACCAAAAATACCATTGCAACCAATGCGCAGCAAGGGCTATCGAAACAAATATTGCTTCTCTTTTCCGAGCGAAACCCCTATCACGATACGCAAGCTCCTAATCACATGCCTTGCACGTCGCATCCACTGCTATCGAAATAGTCATGGAGAAGAGTCCTGCGCCATAATCACTAAGGGGGGCTGCGGCATGCTAGTTGAACTCTAAATGTCTTTCTGGCTGTAAAATATCGCACAACCACCTAGTGGTAGTCAGCATATCACTCGCTATTCAAGCGCACACGAATGATGTTTGAAGGTGTCAGGGGTACTCCCCATTTTCAATTCAGAATAACATTTCGCAACATCAACACGACGAAAAGATAGATACCTGATAGCAGATACTTGTGACAGTTGTAGGCTTAAGAAAAATACTCAATTCAGCCTTGGACATTGTATCACGTCGAATCAGAATTCCAATCGCATTCGAGAGCGCCGTAGCATTTCGCGGATGAGCATTCCAGCCTATCGGGTTCATGGATATTACGGCCGTAACGATAACGGAGATTAACAGCCACTTATTGGTCAAACAAAGCGACACTTCAAATTAGGGTGTACATACTTTATATGGTTAGCAACACTGTTTACTCGCGCTACTCTAATTGTTCTTTTTAGCTAATATGTATCACTTTGGTACATAAAAAGGTCACTACGCGTAAAAAAAAAGAAACAATCACAACATCGTAGTAGCATCATGAAGCTCTGAACTCACTAACTTCCTAGAGTGTTACTATTGATTTTGATTGGGTGGTGGCCTGTGTAGGAAGCTGTTTTTTTTGTGTCCACTGCGTGACAGCAGTCGTGAAAGATATGTCCTCTGGGAAACGCTGAGAATGACGTGACAAGGACTACCTACACAGTGAAAACGGCCTTTTCCTTTTTTGATTCCTTACTTTCTCTCACATCAGTCACACAATAATCGAGAAGTTCAGGTTACTCAAAAATCCTAATGTATGTTGTCATTCAATGTATAGCGACATTATTATGAGGAAATTCAAGTCCCTTTAGAATTTTTGACGATGATTTTAGTAGTGTCATATTGCTCATAGCCATTGTTGACATGTACATCGGACAGGGCTACATTGAAAGGAAAAAGATTTAATACTTCGCTCGCCATGACACGTCCGCTAAATTTTGAATGGGCGTAAAATGCAAATCTCAACGTATGTGCTATCATACATGGTGATTAAGTGATATCAGAAAGACTCGCCTGGTTTTGGAGATCATCTTGGAAAGATAAATTCAAGGTTCCTATGGTACTGTAGTCCTGCAAATAGAATGCGATGATGGATCTTCATTTTGACTTGTATGGAGATGCTTTTCTAGATTGCTGTCATTATTCTACATGTAACCTGAAGACCGAAGCAAATACATTAACGCCTACGATGCGAGTGTCTCAGTCGTTTCTTGTAGGCAAAAGTTTGCGTGACATTGCTGGCCTCGAATCACCTGTCTTTGGACCATTGATAGAAGTTCGGCATTAGATTTTACAAACGTGGATCCACGAAGAGCAATCCCGGGGGTGTTTCGGGCACTACAATGTAATCATGTATCTGCTCCGCCAGCTGGTGTGAAGCTTGATCCGTACACTGGTCCAGGTAGTATAACTTCATGTTTCTTTCGCATTTTCGTTTGATGGCTTCCCCGTGATGCGCCTGTTCTTCGATAGGTGTGTCGCTGACATGAACCAAATCATGCGCAGGCTTGGTGGGTGGGGGCAGCGATAGCTGAAGTATCGAACTCTCTTCTAAATCAATTAGACTTCCGCTGTCGTTTGTACTGCTGTCATACATGTCTTGCGAAGCTCTACGAAGCGAGAGCTGACTAACAGGGCTACCAATGAACTTGCTATGTTTCTTGGATGGCATTCCACGCTTGCAACCATACTTCCTAGGCGAATAAGATCCATCCACCCTCTCACCAGCTAGAAGAAGTGAATTTTGGTAAGAGTGCACATCGTTGTTAGGTGCATGTATCTGCTCTTGGTGTTTCAAACAACATGGACTATTGCCTATCGGGCGTGCGTGGATATTCACATCTGGAGTCCCATTTCGGACGATTTGTGAGCTCGAGATTTGTTTTGGACAAGGGAACTGAGCAACTGGATCTTTTGAAGTTAGGTGAGCGGCTGTTTCGTGTTCGGGTGGGGTGTAGATTTCGGATCTAGTGACTTGACACGAGTGTTTACCGGGCACATCATTGAAAACAGAATTAGGTGAGAGCCTTCTTATGTCTTCAACAAGGTGAA